AAAAAGTTGAGGTCTCACTCTATCACCCAGACTCGGGTGCAGTGGCACGATCATGGCTCACTGCAGCCTTGAACTCTTGAGCTCAAGGGATCCTCCTGCCTCAGCCTCCCGACTAGCTGGGACTAGAGGGCATACTACCATGCCTGGCTAACTTATTTATTTATTTTTTTAAATTTCTTGCAGAGACGAGGTCTTGCTATGTTGCTCAGGCCGGTCTCGAACTCCTGGCCTCGAGCTATCCTCTTGCCTCGACCTCCCAAAGTGCTGGAATTTCGCGTGTGAGCCACCGCGCCTGGCCTGAATACACGATTATAAAGCAAACCCACAAAGAAGCAAACGTTTGTGAACCACGGACGCGCACGGAGCAGGCTCACCACCGAGGACACACGCCGCGCAGCACGCACCTGCATGTTCTCCCTCAGGTCTGTGGCGTCCCGGATCGGCGGCTGGGCGTTCTTGAACACCTCGTCCACGGTCTTAATCCACAGCGTCCTCAAAGACGCGTACTCCCGGGACCGCTTCCCCTTCCTCACGGAGAGGCCCCGCTTGTGGGGCTTCCCGCCACCCCTGCGGTTGGTGATGGCCACGTGCACGAACAGGGACGCGTGCGGCAGGACCTCCCCCGTCAGGGACTGCAGGGGCACGTGGCGGTAGCCGGTCTGCAGGCACTCGAAGGGGATGGTGTACTGCCCGATGAACTCGTCCCCGATGTAGTCGTCGTCCAGCACCACGAAGCGCACCATGGCCAGCTCGGGGAGGTTGATCTGGAACTCAAAGCTCTCGTCGAAGATGGGTGCTTCTCCGTTCTGGTGCACCGTCTTGGTCCGCTGCTCCGCGCAGTCGGCCGGGATCCCGTGGATCTCCACGTAGACGTAGGGGTCCACCACATCGCCCTTGGCCCCCGACCCCTTGGGCTTGGGGAAGTTCTGCCCGCTGATGATCTTGACGTGCAGCAGCTGCGGCGAGACCCCCGGGACGGAGTCTCTGGTGTTGGCGCTGAAGAAGGACACCTCCTCGCGCATGATGGCCGGCCGGAGCACGTAGCCGCAGTTGCCGTTCTGCCGGAACCAGCCGATGTTCAGGTCCATCATCAGGCCCGGCGTCTGGAAGTTCATGGCCACGATCTGGCAGCCGCACTTCCAGAAGTCCTGAGGGTTCATGTTGCTGGAGTCGATCCGCATGGGGCTGGGGAAGACCCTGGCCAGGAAACGCTTGTTGTAGTTCACGAAGTCCCCGGGGTTCTCGTTGGCGTACTTGCTGGCGAGCACTTCGTTGAAGGAGCAGACCTCCCAGTACTTCTGGGCCTGGAAGGACACCTGGAACTCCTTGAACTGGACGGACTTGCAGATGCTGACCAGCTCGGACAGCTCCTGGCACAGCTGGAAGCGCTTCACGGGCACGTGGTTGGGCAGCTCTGCGTTCTCTTTGCCCATCCTCTGTGACATCTCCGCGCCCTCGTCCTCGTCCGTGACGTCGCCCTCCACGCCGGAGCAATTCGAGGACAGCTTCTTGGCTTTGACCAGGATCCGCCCCTTCAGCACGTCTGGGGACGGCAGGTAAGACTCCTCCACGCTGGGGGACGTCGTGTAGAGCTTGTCTCCCAAGATCTTCCTCATGTGCTGCACCATCACCTTCTGCTGCTTGATGGAGCAGTGGTTTTCCAGGCACAAGATAAGCGGGTACTCGGACGCAAAGAAGGCGTACTTGTTAATGATGTCGATGACGCTGCGGAAGACGATCTGAGAGGTCAGGGTGTGGCCCGTGTAGATGACGGGCTCGTTGTCGGGCCCGTCCCACACGTCTAACTCCACGCTCCGGCAGCCCATCTTCAGGGCGCGGATGTAGCCCGTGATGTCGGAGGGGCCCCGGAACTGGTCCTCAGTCAGGTACGTGTTGTGCGAGGAGTTGATGAAGTAATGAGACAGAGGCTGCTTCATGTCCTGGCACACCTTCTTGTGCTCCGGGTCGAAGATGTAGCAGTCGGGGGACATAAGGTAGTTCGTGAACCCGTCGATGGAGAGCCAGCCCTTCCCCTGCCCCTCCGTGGACGGCTCGAACTTGTGGATGATCTCCAGGCTCACTTCCTCGTTGACGTGCGCCACGCCCTGCTCGGCCTCCAGGAACATCATAAGGTCCTTGGCGTCGAGGAATTCTTTATTGCTTGAAAACTGAACCAAAAGGAAATAAATCTCGGGTCTCGTACAAAGCTCGTGGAAAACCTCCATAAACTCTTCCTTGGTGACCTCCGTGCCAGCTTTGTCCTTGGACTTGTGCAACTCTTTGAACTTAAGCTCGATCTTGCTTGTTTTTAAGCCGGGGTTGAGGTTTCTGATACACTGCACGGCACTGCACAGGGTTATATGTCCGAGGCTATCTACATCAGTTTCACTAAACATTTGTGAAACCCAAGAAGTCCTCATGTTGTCCTGGCTACTTTCCAACATGTCAAGCGTATGCTTTCCGTAGGAAATTAAGTACCGCAGTCCCGTGACCCAGATGTTCGCCACATCTGCCGAGTTGGCCACCAAGTCCAGAGACTCATAGTTCTCTCCATAGATGACGGAGAACGCACAGTCCTCCGATATCTGGTCGGAAACGCCGTTGCTGCGGAATATGTCTGTGTTTTTTCCCGTCCTCACTTCCTTGATGGATTTGATGTCGATCTTGGCCTTCTCCGAATCCTTCTTCGAAGGCTCCCACCGCAGGCTCTGCATGTCGGCGTCCAGCAGGAAGTACCTGTGGTAGATTCTGGAGTTGGAGCGGACCTTCTTGAGCTCCGAGCCCTCGACCATGGCGTTGATGCAGTCGCTGGCGCCGCTGATCTTCTTTTCTGTCGGCATGCTGCTGAAAGACACCGTCTTCTTCCGCTCCCTCTTCTGCTTGGAGCCATCCTGTGGGAACAAAGGAGAGCGTGTGAGAAGAGCAGAAACACGGGTTTCCACGTGCGAGACAAGGAATACAAATTCGATTTCCTTGCAGAAAATCGCGCGGTGATGTGAGCAGTTCCCGTCCCGGGCCCCGTGACCAATGGAGCTCGTTGCGCACCAAAGCGCAGAGCTGACAGCTCAATGCCAACCGGCACGGCATCGTCACTGAGTAGTAATTGCCCTGCACGTTTGTCGAGAAACACAATTTCAGTCACGTACAATGCAACCTCGGATACAGAACTGGCTGCTTAATTTTCAGGGCCCAGGGAAAGGTAAAAACGAGGGCTCCTTCCTCCAAAACTATGGAGGATTTCAAGAGGGCGGCGGAAGAACATCGAGCCCAGCACAGGGCCCTTCCGCGCGAGCGCGAGGCCTGTGCAACCCAAGAAGTGGGTGCTACTTGGGGACACACCTCCTACACCAGCGCTTCTCAAAGGGTTGTCAGCCGCGTACTGTGGCTCACGCCTGTAAAACCAGTACTTTGGGAAGCTCAGGCGGGAGAATCGCTTGAGGCCAGGAGCTTGAGACCAGCCTGGGCAACATAGCAAGACACTGTCTCTAGAAAAATTTTTAAAAATTAGCCAGGTACAGTGGTACACACCTATAGTCCCAGCTATGCAGAAGACCAAGACAAGATCTCTTGAGTCCGGGAGCTAGAGGCTGCAGTGAGCTATGTCTGTGCCACGGCACTCCAGCCTGGGTGGCAGAGCAAAAGTCTCTAATGAAAAAAAAACGTCAGCTGGGTTACCTGGCCAAAGTGCAGATTCCTAGGCCGTGGACTCTCTGGGGCTGGTGCCCAGAAATGCACATTCTAGGCAGCACGCATTGACAGCCTGGACACTAAAGTCTGAAGACCATTTCCCGACCACGTGGGCTCACTGAGATGTCTGGGCGATGTCTGGAAACCACATGTGCCAAGTGCTGAGAAACACCAAGGTACGACCATTAAAGCATGTGGGACGCGGGTAGATACTGGAATTCCAGCAGGACTCCCTGGCTCTTCAGAGTCTCCTAGCAGATTATTCGAGGCCCCAAACACTTCGGGCAGATGTGGTTTTACGGCTGCAGTTGTGTCAAGGTGGAGGTGAAGGCCTAGATGACAGCTGAAAGTGCTGTTAAAGTTGTGGGACTGGGTTTATCAAAACCTACGACCGTGCGCCAGGCCAATTAGAGCAGGGTCGCCTCAGGTCTTCCATCTGATTGTTGATACGATCAAGGTCAAAGCGCCGGGCAGCACCATTCCTGCCGAGCTCTGCCCACCCTTAGCGCGCTCCTCCGTCTCCCTGTCTGTGCCGCATTCTCCCACCTGAAGGGGCTAGGACGTGCAGATACATGTGTTTTTAAGTCCTTCTCTGTACGGACACCCTTATTAGTTGGAAAAAAAGTGCTCAGATGACCTCAATTATGACCTGATAATTTTAATCTAAAACATGATATCGCCTTTCAAGAGGCGATATGAAATCTCGGACAGGTTTTCGTTATGTCGTTGTATTCATAAATAAGAAAGAGAGCTAGAGCCTGGGATTATCTAACTGTCATGATATAAAGCCAAAAGCATTGTAAAATATTGTACAAAGGCAATTCGAATGTTCCTCCTCTGGAGAGAATCTACTTTGAATAAAATCCTCTCTATATTGTAAAAGGCTATTATGCACTTCTCTTCATCTGAAATTTAAAACCACTTTTAGTTTTTGACTGCCTATACCTCCAAAAGCAATTTGCAGAAGGTAATTAAACTTTAAGTCATATGGGTCTCATTTCTCTCCAAGTTTCAAAATGAACCATAGATGTTTTTGCGATCTGAGTGCCAAGATAAAACATAAAAGCCACAAGGCAGAGTGCTTCTTCACAATTATATCGTCAGCACAATAAAGCGCAGAAGACATAAAAACTGCAGCAACTGTCTCTGAAACACTGTGTTATGGCCATTCCAACCCCTAACGCAGAGGCTGTAACTAACCATTCAAGAGAGACAGCATGAAGTTAAGTCTGTCCTCAGCCACTCATGAGGTCAGGACACAAATGTATACATTTCCTATTTTTCGGGACGAAGGCTGTCTTTAGTTTTAAAAAGACACATTCACTTTTAATAAGGATAACATACTCATGGAGTGAGGAAATTTTATAATCTTTATAAATTGTATCTCCAAGAGGTCAATCGTAAAAAAAAGTCACAAGAATAAATGGATCTCTTGCTCTTAAAAGATATATGGTAGTTTCTCAACACCATGACCAATATTATTCTGTCACTTGTACACAATGATTAATATTATTCACTCTTTCTAATGTGTTACAAATGATACATTTCAAATTCACAGGTTTTATGAAGCGGGAAAATACCCAACAGCAAAGTGATTAATCACACACACACACACACACACACACACACACACCCACCCCACATCTAGGGGACCAGCTACAGCTTCAACACCACACCGTGGCTTTTATTTTTTTGAGTTGGAGTCTCACTCTGTCGCCCAGACTGGAGTGCAGTGGCCGCTCCCAGCCACCGCAGCCTCGACCTGCTGGGCTCCGGCGATCCCTCCGCCTCAGCCTTCCGAGTAGCCAGAATTACA